GGGGGGTCAAATAGAGGAGAGAACCATTTCAATCTTGCAGTAGCCTACGAGTACGATATTATTTTTGTTATTGAACTCCTCCTGTCTTCCTGCCTACCAAAAGCGTATGTAATAGTCTTTAGCCCGAGTGCCCATATTCTGCTCCATTTTGGTTTATCTCAAGTCAATATTATGAACTTCCGCGGCGATCCCCTGTGTTCATATCAATGCGATATGAAATCTAAATGTGTATTCCTTTATCTCCGAGGCTAGGCCTAATGATACTGTTTGTTTCGAGCCACCAGCCACCGGTCGAACGCCATAGCCATAGCTGAACTTTCTGACTCCGATAGTGCACTCTAATTATAAACACGTAAGGTCTTTGGTCATAATATTTTGGTATGATATTATTTAGTTTCCGGTTCAAACATTTATTTCCGGAAATAAACACTGCCCCTCCAGTCCCTCACAGTTGTAGGCCATTTACAAGTACAATAATAAGTGCAGTTCTCCACAGACTGGACTATTTCCCTTTCTTTCTGTCTTTGTGGTTTTATTTTGCCGTTTAAAAATGTTATGGCTTACGTAGACTTCCATGATATGTTGTAGGTTCTTTTCAAGTACAAAGTAAGTTTGAATTTAGCCTAGATCTATAATCCGTCTACGAGATCTATTCGTCTCTCTCACTCTCTGCCTCGTCTCTTGTTGGTGAGTCTTGGGCTTGGGTCGAAATTAAAATTCATGTCTTTATCGATAACTTGGGTGTCCACAAAGAAAACTCGGGAGGGTCCTAACCCTATCTCCTTGCTCACGTGATGTGTGTTTAAGTTTTTCTAGATTCTAATATCTAGATCTAGAATCTAGATCTAGAATCTAGATATCTAGGTCGTTGAAAGTGTTTTGCATGCTTAAATTGAACTTTGAAAAAATCAGATTGCACGGGAAGATTGAAGAATACCGGACCACTCGTACATTATTGCGCCAGAAAGTGGGGTTGGTGGGGCGGGTGGTTGGGGTGGAGGAGGGGGGGTTCAGGGGGGTCTCCCCCCTAACAAAATTTTAATGAATAGATCTACCGGTCCGAGATTCTCCATTGAGAGATATATTAAAAACGGGAAAATTATGAATTCCGAAGGTTGAGACATCTAGATCTAGATCTAAATCTAGATCTAGAATCTAGATCTAGATCTAGATATAGATCTAGATCTAGATCTATATCTACTCTGATAAAACAATTTTGTTGAGGATGAGGACGACTGGGACTGTTGTGTGTACAGTGCAAATTCAAATAGATCTAGATCTAGATCTAGATCTAGATCTAGATCTAGATCTAGATCTAGATCTAGATCTAGTGATCTAGATCTAGAGTCTAGATCTAGATCTAGAAAAAAAAATAAAAATCTAGATCTAGATCTAGTATAATAAAGGGAAACGGGATTTTTTTTTCTTGATTTTTTCAATCTCTATTCTCTGTTTCAGTTTCAGGGTCTAGAGTCTAGATCATGTAGATCTAGAATCTAGATCATCTAGATTCTAGATTTTAGATCTAGTCTAGTCTAGTCTAGTCTAGTCTAGTCTAGTCTAGTCTAGTCTAGTCTAGTCTAGCCTAGTCTAATCTAGGCTTGTTTGGCGCTTGGACCTGGGGTTCTGTATGATTTGTGGGTAGATCTAGACGTGATCAGTATTGAACAACTGAACCGTATGGTAGAGTGCGTCGGTTTGGTGCCTACTCCAGTACCCAGTGCCCAATGCCTGCCCAAAATCGAAGTGACTATTCGGACTCGAGTCCGAATATGAAAAAATGTTATTCGGACTCTGATTCTTGTCCAGCATGACATCACTTCCAACTTCCTGTGACTCGTGACTCTGGCTTCCTGTAATGCCTCACTCGTGACTCGTCTCAGGCTGGGTAGAGACCGGGATCACTGTTGGCAAAATGGCGTTTTGTGCAGGAGCCGAGTTTTTATCTTATGATGAATTTGAGGCGGGCCTGAAAAGTTATAGCGCTTCTAATAAATATTTATTTGTCAAGAGGTCATCAGAAGCAATTAAAGAAGGCTCGTTAGCGTGTGTCGGGGTCGGATGGGCGGCCTGCACTCGTGTGGCTGTGTGCGTGTCGGGGAG